ACCTGGCAGGCTTTGGCAGGAGATGCCTGGCTCTGATAGGCACCGCTCAAGAACATTCGGGAGGGAATCCAGCTGAATTTGCAAGCCCAGTAGGAAAAGGTCAGAAGAAACTCAAGAACTGCTGTTAATCAGGATATTTCACAGTTTTCACCGTCTCATTTTCTTGCTATGTAGCAATTGCTACAGCTGGCCAGTTTATATATCAGACCATCTAGCTTACCGTCTTGAGACACAAGAATTAGACACTTGTAATGAACGTTTTCTCTAGGTCACCAACACTATCACAAAATCCAAACATCCTTGTATTTTTTTAAGCAGTTACTACCACTGCTAACATGTCTTCAGCTGCGATGAAATGGGCGGCTGGCAAGTTTGTGGAATGTTGTGGAAAGCCACTGTTTACCTTCCAGGCAAGAGATTGGTGGTGGTGTTCTAATTCCTCTACCAGCATGTCCGAACTTCTGAAGTCTATGTGAAGGAGCTGCTGTCGTATTCATATCTATTTATAGCCAACTTCTGACCGCCTAATGCTGCTCTAAGGCTGGGATGAAATTAGCCTGACTCCTAACTGGAAAACTATCGTTGTCCGTGTGTGTGTGTCCCGGGGATCGAACTCAGGACCTAGGGCCTCATACTTGCTAGGTAAATGCTCCACCATTGGGCCACAATATATTGTCTTTTACTCACTGGCCATCCCTCATTCAGTAATCTTTATCTGAAAGATGAAAGACTTTTTTGTTTTGTTTTGTTTTTCTTGGACTTCCCGTGCCAGACAGAATTTTGCTTCCTTTACATATGCCTTTTGAAGATCGTAATTATGAACTGGTTGAGACACTCGGATACCTTAATCGGTTCCTCAATATTCTGTTTACTGCTTTTCCTGCTTTGTGGCTAAAATATGTATCTCTCTTTTTGGTCAACTTGAAGAATTTGCTCTCTGTCTTTTAGAGTTGTTTCAAATCCCTGCTCAATAAAACAGCAGTGGAAGTTTAAGCAAGTATCAAGAAAGGAGCTGAATTGGAACAAAGTGAAAATGACTCCAAGGGATTCCCATGGTATTGCTTCCTTGCTACTCAGACCAGCTGCTGCAGTTTCTCCCTTGAGAATTAAACCGGGGCTCCTTTCCCCTTTCTGAATTAATGTGACCCTGGGAAAGCTGGCTAAGCTCTACCCTGGGAGATATCAATGTGAGCGAAAGGCATTGACAGTCCCTCCATTTTCTACACTCATGCAGCACATTTGCTAGACTCCATGATGGAAGTCTTTATATATAAAGGAACTAGGGAAGAAGCAAGGTTTAAAGTAACAGTTGAGCACTTTTGATTCACCATTATTAAAGTACTAGAAATGTGATCATTTATCTTGTTTATAAAAAGACATGTTAGCAGGTTATGGTGGTGCACGCTGGTAGGATTTGCTGAAGGAGGCAGAGGCAAGAAGATCACGAGTTCAAGGCCAGCCTGGGCCACACATTTAAAAAAAAAAGACATGTTCATTCTTTATAACAAATTTAAGTGGGAAAACGTCCTTAACATGTCTACTATTATTAACATGTAAAATATGTGAGATTATATCAAGTGAAATATTTCTCTTCAAAATTGACCCTCCAGTGTCTGGACTTCCCAAGATACTTTCAAGATACCATGAACTGTATATGTTTCTGGAAGTTTATTTTGGAAGTGGATTTTGTGTGTGTGTGTGTGTGTGTGTGTGTGTGTGTGTTTTGAGGCAGCTTTTTTTTTTCTCTGTAGCTTTGGAGTCTGTCCTTCAACCAGCTCTTGTAGACCAGGCTGGCCTCGAACTCAAAGAGATCCACCTGCCTCTACCTCCAAGTGCTGGTATTAAAGGTGTGCATCACTGCTGCACAGCAAAAGTATATTTTTACATATTATTTGCTTATATGAACAAAACTATGTATACAATGTAAGCATATGGATTTTATCTGCTTAATAGAAATGGCACATACTATTAGTTAATGTTGCACTTAAAATTAAGCACACAATGTATTTTAGGAGATTATTTCCTAATTGTACAAAGATCCTTTTCATCATCATCATCATCATTATTATTATTATTATTACAGGGGGCAGGTTTTAAAACAGAATTTCTCTGTGTAGCCCTGGTCATCCTGGAACTCTCTCTCTGTAGACCAGGTTGGCCTCAAACTCATAGGTCCTCCTGCTTCTGTCTCTGCCACCTGAGTGCTGGGAATAAAGGAGTGCCCACTACCAGTTCCTTTTCATGTCTTTACAGGATTTAATGACTATGTTATAATTTTTTTTAAAGATTTATTTATTTATTATGTATACAACATTCTGCCTCGATGTATGCCCACACACCAGAGAAGGGTGCCAGATCTCAGTACAGATGGTTGTGAGCCACCACTGGGAATTGAACTCAGGACCTCTGGAAGAGCAGCCAGTGCTCCTAACCTCTGAGCCATCTCTCCAGCCCCTATGTTATAATTTTTAATTAATAAACCCTTATTCATGAGTTCATTAATCAGCATGTTGTTTTTTAATCTGTTTTTACTAGACATGGCTGAAATAGTCATGGTTTTATACACATGCAGTTTGTTGGGTGTAATATAAGATAAACTCTCCATATGTGGACTTTTTAATAAAAATCTGTGCATCTGTAATTCTGTTAGTATTCTGAATTATATAGAGGTCACTGTAAGTTACATTCACATCTGCATAGTGGCTCCCTATCTTCACATACACTAACACCCGGTGACTATCAAATATTCTAATCTTTGACAGTTTGCCAAGTGAAACAGAGATTTTTTTCAATATAGTCTTTTAACTTTCATTTTTCCTCCGAGGAAAAGACAGTGTTAACTTTTCTTTAGAAGATCAAACCATAAAGTTATGCTGAGCTGTTGTGTTATCTGATCCTTAATATCATTCCAGGACTCTGTAGCAGGTCAGCATTAGAGTTCAGAGGTCAGGAACATGGCTCTGTGCCCAGAACCAAGAGGAGCAGAAAATCCAATAGGCCTTACTTCATGACTCTTTGGCTGGACAGAGCCTCTGATGATGACCCTGGGTCACTTCTGTTTTTTTTTTTTATGTGAATGCAATTAGAAGCTAAATTTCTGATTGCCACACCCACAGAATTATCTCCAATTACTTCAGTGCCTTTTGTTTTCTTTTCTCAATTTATTTCATAGAAATGAAAAAGCAAAAATGGCTCTGTATTTACAGGTAGAACTAAATCACACAATAGGATGGAGCTGGGGTGGTAGCGTGGGGTATGTGGAGCACGTTGGGCCAAATCATCTGGCTCACAAATGGGTTCTAAAAGTTTAAATAATAAGTTTAACACCAGGAGTAGTCTCCCTGGGGTAGAGGCACGTTGCTAATTAGCATAATTATCTCATGACTTGTCAGACAAACATCCACGGCTTTTGTTTTGGTTTGATTTTGTTTTGTCCTGTGCCTTTCGCATAAGGAAGAATTCATCCAATGGTGTTTAATGCTGTATCATTTTAAAATTAGTCACATGCTTTTCCTGCCAGCCGGAGATCACGTTACAGCAGGGATTTCAAAGATAAGAGGCATTATCTGCTGGCATGTGGAGAAAAAAAAATTGGGCCCGCTTTGCCCTCGCTCACAGTGTGACCGTGCGCAAGTCACTTGGCTTTTCTGACTCGACTGTTCTCACTTGAATAATAGAGATAATCATCTAACCTATTTACACCAGGGTCTACTGGTGAGCAAAGAATGGGTCATTGTTCACGTGAAAACACTTAAAGCTATAAACAGCAACGCTGTTAGTTCATCCAGCAGTCATAGTACAGGCAACTGTTGGAAATGCTTTTTCTTCTCCCCTCCCCTCCCCTCACCCGCCCATCCACCACACCTCCAGAAACTTAAAATGCTTTCTGCAACCCCACGCCAGGTAATTTCACATATGCATACAAACAAGTATATATTAAACTTAGAGCACTGATTGTCTGACATTTAATGGCTCAGAATTTTTTTTTTTTTCGAGACAGGGTTTCTCCGTAGCTTTTTTGGTTCCGGTCCTGGAACTAGCTCTTGTAGACCAGGCTGGCCTCGAACTCACAGAGATCCGCCTGCCTCTGCCTCCCGAGTGCTGGGATTAAAGGCGTGCGCCACCAACGCCCGGCTCAGAAATGTTTTTTTATCTCTCACGGGAGGACTACCACTCTTAAGGAAAAGTTTGTATTAAAATATGCCTACTTGGGGCTAAAACTTCTTCAGTTCGTCCCAGAACGAGGACCTTGTCTTTAAAGAGGTCAGATCTACTCCGAGTCCCACTACCTTCCCATTTTTTATCTGAATACCTAACAGCTGGAGTCTCCTTTCCTTAATGTTTAATAGGTGCTCGCTAATAATCTGCTCAAAAGTCTGGGACGTGGAGCGCAGGTGGGACTCGTCCAGAGAGCAATCCTTACAAGCCCCTGCGCTGATAACTCGGGCAACTTTCCCACCTCCCAACCCCAAAGCAGTCCGTGGCCCACGAGAAGCAAGAGGACGGGGAACTCAGGCTGCGAGGACACCTACCTAGGAGGAGCGGATCCTCTCTCCGGCTAGCCTGGCCGATCCTGCGGCCTCAAAGCTGGGCACAGCAGAGCTTGGCTCGTCCGCGGGGCGTGAGTGGTCTGGGGACGCGCGGTGTAGCCAGGTGCGCAGTCAGCAGACACCGCATCGTGACCCACGTGGCAACAGGTGCAGCGCGCTCCGGGACCTACGCCCGGGGCTTCCGGCAAGTAGACGTACAGCCCTGGAGCCAGCCCGGGCGGGCGATCGCAGTGGAGCTCCGTGGGAGTCTTGGTGCCCCTAGGAACCCCGGCACGTCTCTCAGGTTAGTTTCTTGGGGGTGCCGCCCCCTGGTCCCCCACCTGGCCTTTGTCTGGGCTCCTGGAGCCGCCGCGGGCGAGGGGCGAGGCTGCCCAGCTCCGGACTCTCCGCCTTCGTTCCTCCCCCTGGTGGCCCAGGGCGGGGAGGCTGAAGCTTGGTTCTCGGTTCCCGCCTGGCCGCAGTCGCCACCGGGATACGGGTGCGAATCGGGGTCGAGCTGCGAGCCCCAAGTGTATACAACCTCTCGGGCTGGACCCGCCCAGGGTGCGGAGAGAGCCCAGCTCCAAGTGGTGGCTCTCAGAAGAGGGCTCAGGGCTGGCTTCCAGCCTCTGCGGGCAAGCGCGGAGTGGATCCCATTCCGCAGTTCATCCCGGCCGCGGTGGGGACCTCCGGAGAACGTGGAGCTCAGACGCGGCGACTGCAACTCACTCACGGTGACCGGACTGGCTTTCGGGGTAGGGGGAGTGGGCGGGTGTCCTCGGGGTTTTTTAAGTTGGTGGAGTGAGTGGGGAGGCTGGGCTCACGTGGGGCCAGCGCAGCTCCTGCGGGGTTGCGGTTGCTGTCACCTTGAAAGTGACCGAGATGGTGGGTCTACAGTAGATCCGGCGAACTGTCAAAAGTTTGCACCCTCGGCCGAAAGCCACCCACCAGGCTCCGGACCCGGCTTTGGGCTTGGCAGCTTCAAGCTTCCGGCTGGGCGACTTGCCGGGGCCCATTCCCAGTTTAAGCAGTCAGTGCAGAAAATATGGGAGAAAGGGAATTGCTGCAGTTCTCCAGGTCCTTATGCGGGGTTAGTCCCTGCAGCCCGCGGGTATTTACAAGCTCTTTGGGAAAACCCTCCTTCTGGTCATCTTAATGACTACCCAATAGGGGACTTAGCTAGAACTATCTGAGGTCTTTAGGGTCCTCTACGAGGGTCATTTATTCACTTTTGTAATATTGACGAATTTAAGTTTTTAAAACTCAACTTTCATAGTGATACCCGTTTTTGCAAAATGCTATTTTTAAATTGTCAGTGTTCTAGGAAAGGAAATCCAGTGTATTTTGTTTTTCCAAAACCAGAGTCTTAGGCAAAACGGGAGGAAAGAGAGCTTTCATGTTTTGCCAGGTGATTGGAGTTCAATCATGGTATCAAATCACAGCGCTGTGGGGGTGGGGGTGGACTCCGGGGATCTGGAGACAACTTGGAAGGCAAAAAAGAGGCGGGGTCGTGTTCCCCTGAACCTATGACCTCCATAAGGAATGCTTTACAAATAGGTTATCAATTTAAATAATTCATCATCTCCCGTTGTCTCCAGCAGTTCCTTCAGGGCAATCTAGATTCTGTTGCGTGGGTGTGTTTAAACTCACTGTTTACAGATTCATTTCTCAAGAATTCTATTCCATAAGAAAAGTTATGCAAGCAAAATAAAACAAACCCCCATTCTCACCCTTTAAAAAAAAAGCATAGGATTTAGTTTAAAATAATTAAAGTAAGTTGTGTTGATTTTCCCCCACCTGTGCCACGCTGCCAACGTGCGCCCACCCCTTGTGGGGTGGATGGAGCCAAGAGTTTTGCATATAACAAGCACCTGGATTACCACAGATGTCTGCCCTCCACTCTCCCTGTCCCCCCCCCTTTTTAATTGTCTCAGTTAATCTCTATGACAGTGATTTCAGATTAATTTAATAGGTCATATCTGTAGTAAGCATATACATTTAAGCTTTTTTTAAAAAGTGTGTATGGATGTTTTGCCTGCATGTATGTCTGTATCTCAAGCATGCCTGGTGCCCAAGAAGGCCAGAGAAACCCAATCATGGAACTGGAGTTACAGTTGTGAGCAGCTGTGTGGGAGCTGGGAGTGGAACCCAGGTCCTCTAGAAAAACAGCCAGTTCTCTTAATCACCAAGCCATCACTCCAGCCCCCACCTGTTCCTTTTAAAACTGTATTTATGTGGAAAAAAAATAGTGTTTGGAAGAGGTTTGTGTCTTTTAATTAACTGTTAGAAATTCAAGGACAATCTTTGTAGTGATTAGTAGGATTATGAAATTCTGGGTCAGTTTTTGAGTAGAATTTTTTTGGAACTAAATTTGAGTTATTAGGATTAAGTGTTTGAAGAAGCATGTTATTTAGTGACTGCATTTGCTCTGACTTCAAAAGGAATGAATGGCTGATGTGTACAATTTTGTACATTCAGAAAAGAGTCAACCCCACCGTCTTTTGTCCTTTGTAAAATATTATTAAAAGTCCTCCATTGTATTAAGCCTGCAACATCTTAGTTTTTTGTTACAGTATATTCTATAGATGTGTCAGTTTACTTAACCTTGCCTTACAAGCTGAACTTTTCATTTGCAGTTACTGTTTTTAGATATGCTATTGCAACATTTATCTCTTTTAAATATTTTGTATGCAAGTTATGTGTCTTTAGTCTAATGTCCTTGGAAATCACAATTGGTGATTCAAAGTTTCTTGTAAAAACACTGACGTTTGGTTTCCAGAACTATTTAGTCAAACTAAATAGCTAAATAAGCTCTTTTAAACACAGGTTAGTTTTCCTTAAAAGGAAGTCTTATTGTCAGCTTTATAGGTGAACAGTGCTATCTCAGTATTTAACTTTCCATTTCTGTGACTGCAAATGTTATCAAGCATGTCACCTATGCTCCTTCCTAGTTTTTGTTTTTTTCTTTAGAGTTTCTCTGTGTAGCTCTGTCTTGGAACTCCTCCTGTAGACCAGGCTGACGGCGAACTCAAAGATCTGCTTGCCTCTGCCTCCTGAATGTGGGGCTTAAAGGTGTGTGACACTATGCCTGGCTAGTTTTATTTCTTTTTAATTCAATTAGATTTTTTCCTCTTGGAAAATTGGTATTTTTCTACTCATAAAAGCCTCTTTCAGGTTGTTGGCATACATCTGTTCATATCGCAGATATTTTTCCTCGATTTATATTTGCCCTATAAACACATTTATAGTTGTGTTGACTTACAGAAGTCTACTTCAGTGTTGTCAAACATGCTGGTTTTTCTCAAAATGGAATGTTAGTAGTTCTAAATCATTGTTTATGAGACACATATGGCTGTTGTTCCTTCTGGAACTCTGAGTTAGATTCTTTTTAAATCTGTCCCTACAAATTCAGTACTCTGGAATAGCTACTGTTGTGCAGTCTTTTTGCATGTGGCAATGAGAAATTGTCAAGTATGAATGTCCTTAGACATTCTTGGGGTTGGGGAAATGGCACAGTCTGCTTCTTCTAGAGGACCCGTGTTTAGTTTTCAGAACCCACATCAGGAAGCTCACAAATGCCTATAACTCCAGCTCCAGGGGAGCTAGCATTCTTCTGGGGCCCTTTGTAAGCACCTTTACTCAATCAGAACATTTAGAGAAAGTTTACGTAAATCTTGGGTGAGAGTTTTTCTGGTTCTCTGGGCCCGAGGAATCTTGAAATCATAGATTTTCCACGTAGTCACTGAGACTTTTTTTTTTTCCTCCTAGAAATCCTGCAATTATCCTAAAACTTGGGTTGAATATAATGAAACTCTTAGAATGTATCTGTAAACTTGACGTTTCTTGCCCTTGCCCCACCCTGAAGCTAAAGAGAGTGATTTGAGAGTCCAAATCTAGGTCATTCATAGCAGTGGTAGCACACACCTTTAATCCCAGCACCCAAACACCCAGGAGGCAGAGGCAGGCGGATCTGTGAGTTCAAGGCCAGCCTGGTCCACAGACAGGAGTTCCAGAACAGCCAGAGCTGCACAGAGAAACCCTGTCTCAAAAAAAAACTAATCAATGATAAACAAACCTCCATCTGATCCAACCTATGATTTTTGTCAGTGATAAGTCAACAAAGATCTATGCTTCCCTAGTATTTTGGAACAAACCTTTTAACTTGTTGGTTATTATCAGTATGGCTGTATAGTCTGTGAGCATTTGAATTCAGTGGTGGTATTGTAATGTGTTCTGTCCTATCAATAGAGCCAACAAGTCAATATTTAGCGATGCCTTTGCAGAAACCTTTTAGCTTGCACTAAATATTTTAAAGTTTATTTTATGTGTATGAACATTCAGCCTGAATGCATGAATGTGCATTGCATGCATGTCTGATGTCCATGGAGGTCAGAGCAGTGTCATATCTGCTGCAGTTGGAGTTATAGAGGGTTGTGAGCCAGCATGGGGGCATTGAGAGTTGAGCTAAGGTCCTCCGCAAAAAGAGCAAGTGCTCTTAGCCACTGAGTCCTCTCTCTAGCCCCCTAGCTGGCATTTTTATGTTATCCAAAGAGGTGAAATTGTGATAGCAAGGAACCTGAATGATCCACAATCAAGTATTTGTAATAGCATTAGGCTTGGAAAGAGACAGCGTCCTCACCGTTATCCCATAGCTACGTGACAATGAAGCATGTGTTTTTGGTTAGATCATGACTAGAGCATGCCTGTGATGCATGCCTGTAAATGTAGCCCTGGGGAGGTAGATGCAGTAAGACTGGGGTTGTTCGAGACCAGGGTTGGCTGCAAAGTAAAAAAGCATGGCCAGTTTGGGTTACACGAGTCTCCATCTCAAAAAGAAATTGTCAAAGCCTACAGAATTCTACGAATGCACATGTGATGTGATGGACCATCCACATGGACTATTCAGAGAACATGTCTTTAGGGATTTCTATGTAACAGCCCAAATGGTTGCAGATCTTACGATGACCAGAACATGTTTATTCTCCTGACTTTGTTGTCTCTTGTTCAGGTGAATTTATCAATGCAGTCGAAATCATGTACTTACAAAGAAACCATGTGTTATACATCAAAACAAAATAAAAATAAAATCCAAGAAAAATTTAAGTCTTTAGGATGGAAAGTCTTCCAGATCTGTGGCTCTGGGAATGATGAATTCTATGTCTCTAATAGTCCATTTGCAGGTTTTTTTATATGAATTGATGATACAAGTGTTTTCTTGTTGTCTATAGTTTACAATTTTCTCAAATTAACTTCCTACATAGTAATAGATTAAACATTTTTGTTTGCTTTGTTTTAGAGACAGTTTTTTTTTTTTGAAGCCTGTTCTGGAACATGCTCAAGACCAGGTTGGCCTCGAACTCACAGATATCTGTCTGCCTCTGCCTCCTGAGTGCTGGGATTAAAGACATGTGCCACCACTGCCCGGCAGATTAAAGGGGACAAAAGGCTTTCCTGAGCATGCACTAGCTCTATTATGAAAGCCTGATCTTCAATGACTTCACTGAAAGGAGCAAGTTATTAATTAATTTATTATTATTATTTTTATTATTTATTAAAGATTTGTCTCCTCCCCGCCACCACCTCCCATCTCCCTCCCCCTCCCCCAATTAACTCCCCCTCTCTCATCAGCCCGAAGAGCAGTCAAGTTTAAATCGCCCCTTTGGTACTTTCGGTAGGCTTTGGAGTGAGCCCCCAAGCTGAAAGTGAAGAACTACTGTTCATGGTTTGTGTTTGG